TTGGGCTCAAGATTCCCCAAGGAGCCAGGCAAGGAGATTCCAGCCTTCAGGTTGCCTTCCATAGAATCATAAATTTCTGGGCTCCTCCGGCTGGAAATGGTTCACTGCTGATGGGATCATTAAGAGTGCCAGCCAGATCTGATCTCCACATTCAGAGGTTTATTAATAACGCCTCGAATTTATCTTCCTTGATGGGGAAATTTTGCCAGTATCTGATAAAAGCAAAATGCACAGTGGCCTGGTGCCAACAAGAGCCCTCTCCCTGTCATCAGCTGTTAGCAGAAAGCTAGTACAGCAGGCTGGAATGGGGCTAATGGAAATACAGAGGGGGAAATGAGTTTTGTATCTTCAGTTCAGAGTTTGGACTTCATATCTCCTCCCGAGACCCCTCTCCCCCAGATTGGGCTGTGAAAATAAATGTCAGATCTGCATCTTCCTTTGAGAGTGTGTGCCTCATCTTCCAAGACCCTTCCGCACACAGTGCTCTCAATGAAACCACACTTGTCCTCTTTGAACTTCCATGAGTCCTGCTTATCTTTCAGTGGAGAGTGCAAGCACAAAAGAATATCAATGAGTGTTGTAAGTGGAGCTGGCTACAAATGAGAGAAAACATTATGGGGGGATGTGATAGGGCTTCAGCAACAAGGATCCTGAGTTAAGCTATTGAGGAAGTGGGCCCCTTAGTTTGTATTAACTGAGTCGGGCGGGTATCAGCCAAGCAGGAGGACCCTCCGGGGCAGAGGATTTCAGGCTGTGATTCCAAGGCAGTCTGGGAATATCCTGCTGGAGACCTGGCAGTGGAAAGCCTGGGCGGGTAGGAAGTGTTTGGGGAGGCTGACCAGATGTATGGTGCTGTGTGGTAGGTGGAGGAGCAAAGGGCTTTGGAAGCTTCTAGCTCAAAGGCAGCCTAGTCTGTTATAAAATGTCCAATGCGCTCATTTTACTAATGAGGACATGAAGCCTAGACAGGGGAAGCCATTTGCCCAGGATCCCACAGCAGTGGTGGCAGGGCTAGAACTGGAATGGATGCCTGGCTTCCCGGTCCAGCAGTCTTTCTACCAGAACTTTCTTCCTTATGTGCTTAACTTTAATTGAGCCCTTTCTATCTGCCAAGCACCCTGCTAAGGAATGGATGTTCTCTGTTGACCTTCACAACAACCTTGTGAGAAAGATGCTCTTGGTGCCTTCGTCTGACACTTGGTACCATTGGCTGGAAGAGTTTAAAGGACTTGCCTAAAGTTACAGAGTAGTAAGTGGTGGATTCAGGGCTCCAACCTAGACAGCTTGCTCCGGAACCTTGCTTATAATCAGCAGCCTAAACCAGTGCTTCTCAAAGTGGGGTGCCTGGAGAATCAGCATCAACCTGGAAACTTGTTAGAGATGCAAATGCCTGATTCAGAAACTCGGGGAGTGGGGCTAGCTGTCTGTGTTTGCATGCATTTGAGTTGGTCTAAGCCACAAATCTGCCAGTTTCACAGTGAGTCTCTCTTCCCATGCTTTGTAAACCAAATTGCTGGCGTCTCACACCTCAGGAAATTTACAAGGTCATTGCTACCTCTCAGCATCCCAGCTTCTGGTGGCCTCTTTTAACAGTGGGATTCTTTAGGAAGCCCGAGATTGGCACAGGTTTTCCTACACCCAGAGGGGTTAAGTGTGTCTCTGAGCTTGAAGACAGCAAAATTGGCATGGCTGAACCTTCTGCTGGCCAGAGGGGATTTTGAGAGTCCTGTCTGCTTTCATGTGAACTTGGACAATTTGGTTCAGTCAAGTGGAAAATTAACAAACCAGAAAGGAAGGGGACACAATTTGAGACCAAATGTTTATTGCGACCAGGGTGCTGTCAGACTTCTAGACATTGCTCCTGTGAAGCTTGAGGAATCCCACACTGGAGATGTTTTCTTCTTGATTCAACAGATATTTCTCCTGCACCCACCAAATGCCAGGCACTTTGCCTAGGACTGGGGATAGAAAGATGAAGGGATGTGGTCCCTGTCCACAGAGGACCCACAGTCTGTTGTGCTTCTCTAGTGATAGGATTCTCCACTGGGGAAAATACAGTGGCTTTTGGTTAATGCAGTTGATGACGTCTGGTGAATAGAATGTCATAAAAATAAATCCCCCGATGATCCCCTTGGTGATCAGTGACACTGCACACTAATGAAGGCAGCACTTCTTTGGTGGTATGGGGGAAAAGAACCACAGCCCAGTGAAGGAGAGTCTGGATGAAGACTTCATTATTTAATGAACCATGTCCGGTGAACAGCTGTGGTGTTAACCAGCCAGGACAATTATGCAAGTTGGATTATGTCTCCGGTAAATTGATTCTACTTTATTTGATTAGGTTGGTTCTCCAAAGACAAATTCTTCCAAGTTGGGTTGGAGGGAAACAAAAACAAAAACAAAAACACCATTTAAACTTTGCTTCTAACTTTTAATCTTTGAAATGTTTTTGCTGTCAAGTCTTAAGAGAAAACCCATGATAGCTGCTATTTGCCACCAGCAAGAGAACCAAGAATAATCATGCATTTACAATAGCTATTAGCATGCTCTATACAAGACTCACAGTCTTCTCTCCATGAGCTTGTCCACAGGGGCAATAAGAGACAGGCAGAGCTGTGACTACTCCTTTGTGAGCCCCCAAAGTAGCCGGGCTCCAGCTCACCAAGCGGTTATCTTTCTTAGCACATAACCCATTGTAGGCACACAGCTGAACATAATGAAAAGAAATGGAATTGATGTGAAAATTGTCCTAGAACCCCATCCTGCCATTTTCAGATTATCAGATACCATCCAGTCCAGTGTCACTGTGGGCAGCTTATAAAATCTATTTAATGGTTTATCACCAACATAACTAAAAAATGAAATAGAATAAAATAAAATATAGTGCATCTCATTCTACATAGTAAGTATTGCCTCATAAAATGGTATTTTGGTTTGGTGTGTGTTTGTGTATGAGTGTGTCTGTGGTGTGTTCTGAACTGTGTTGCAATTCCCACAGCTAGACAGTCTCTAAGGGGAACAGGCTGATCCTGGATGAAATTCATTTCCTAGAACAAGAGGAGCCCAGAAAAGAATCACTTGTCTCGGATGTGGTTTCCGAGGTCGTGAAATCACTGGATGAAAGTTGGATTCATCAGTGGCTTTTAGACTTGTTAGGGCAGGGTGCATCTAGTCCACACACCCATAGTCCACAAACACAAGTCGGCTGATCTATACTGACCCTTACTACATGTGATGCACTCTGATCTATTCTATTCTTCTGTACTCTGTTCTATTGTACTCTACTGAACTATTCTATTCTGTTCTATTCTATTCCTTCCATTCTATTCCATTCCATTCATTCCATTGCATTCCATTCCCATTTCATTTGTAAAATGATGGTCAGGACTCATTAGGTAGTTCCATTTCATGATCCATTAATGGGTTGCATTAAAAAGTAACACCAGATTAGGTTACTTTCAAATTCCCTTTTAACCCCAAACTTCTGTGAATGCAATGGAAATCATCACCATCGTATTAGGATACAAATTCTGTGTAAAGCAGGCTCCAATAGAAAGTTGCTGACTGACTGAAAACTGTATTAATCACTCATTGATTCACTTGCTCATTCATAACTTACCATGTATCACGTACTGTGTAGGCTCTGGTGATATACAGTGAATAAAACACGACCCCTGTCCTGGAAGAGTGCCTAGTTAGAGGGATAATGATTGGGCTTCCTGGGGCTGTGAGGGTCCCAACAGCTCCCTCTCTTGGGAGGTAGGACCCTTGAAACTTTATTTCCAGCACATTCTTCTTGATGTTTCTGGACAAAGTATCTAGCCCTAAAGCCTTAGTCCAATAGAGAATTTAACGTGCTGCAATTAATAAACACCAAACTCAAAATGAAGCATATGCTACAAAACAAGGCCGGTGGAGCTGGGGTGGCCCTGTCCTCTCTTGGGCTCTCTCACAGGTATTAGGAGCCCTAATTACTTGTTGTGTATTGATTAGTGTCCCATATAGACCACTAATCCCGTGGACCGACTTACAGGGACTAGTAAATGAGATTGCTCAGTGTTGGGAGCTAATCAGATTTCTTATGCTTAGACCAGCTTTATGCTAGGGTTTAAGGATGCTCCTGACTCAAGCCGAAATGCTCTGTTTGACCATTTCTCAGATGGGTTAGAGATAAAGTGGGCGCAGGGGTGTGGAGAGGGGCTAGACGTTCCTTACAGCTCCCTTGTAATGAGAAACTCTCCTCAGATGTCCCATTCAATGTGGATTCTTCCTGAGCTTCTGGACTTCTGAGGACGTAGGGAGAGTGGCCACACGTCAGTTTAGAATCACATGCTAATTTTTCCACTCTTACTGATTTTGCTCCCCAGCTAGATTGTGTACTCCTGGAGAGGAACAGTTGGCTGGTAGGACCAGTCACTCCGTGGCTCTGGGTTACACTTTCTTCATGTTTAAATGGAACAAGTACTCCCCCCCCTCCCAACCCCCGAGCTGGCCAATGGGGAAGGCTAAGTATAATCTGGCCCACAGGAAGGGCAGGTACCTTCTTCTCCAGTCCCCCGTCACTCTCCAAAGCCAGCACTGAGCAACGGCTTGTACCTTTCACCCAAGAACCCCCTGTCCTCCCCTCAGACCAGCCCTAGAAATACCACCCTGTCATTGAACCTCTTGACATTCTTTATCTGTGTTTCTATCCTTTCTCCCCGCCCTCACCTCATGCCACATCCTTTATTCCACTCTAGGCCAATCAGCCAGAATTACAAATACTTCCCCAAACCCTAGGTGCTTTTGGCCTGACAGCTCCCTGCTTCTGCTCATTGTTTACCCTTTCCCTGGGGAGCTTCCCTTACACCCCCCACAATCACTTCATCCAGCACTCTCCACACTGGATAGAATGATCTCTTTTGGTGTCCTTCTGTCTTGAGTTTCTTCACTTGAGCATTGTAGCAGGGGCCAGCACCTAGTGAGCTGTGCACACTGGTATTTGAGGCTTGAACCCAATGATGTCCATGAGGTGGGATGCAAGTTGCTGGATAGGGTGCCATGGCATTCTGACTCACCTGCCAGACCATCACTTGAGTGAACCCCCAGAGACCTGTGCACCCTCAGGAATGTGTGTGATGATGGGTGTGTCTACTCTCCGGAATGACCCACAGAGATGGTCTCTTGAAGAGCAGACCCTTGTAGGCGAGGCAGCGTGGCTTTGGGGGATGAATAAGGCTGTGGTTTCTGAGTGAGGAGAATGGATTCCAGTCTTATGAAATGCCATGCTTCCTCGTATCTTTTATGCTGAGGGCTGCAAAGATGAGGCAAGGCCATTTCCAGTGACTAGCCTGGTGCCATGAGCCTCTGGATCCTGGGTGTTTGGAGCTGGAAAGGTTTTGCTGATCCTCTCTTGTCCAGTTCTCTCCTTTTACACATGAACAAATGGAGGTCCAGAGCTGGGCCCAGGCTTGCCCAAGGTCAATGAGAGCTGTAATTGCCAGCACATGGGGTGACAGCTGCCTGGGCTACAAGGAAAGGGGGCCTGTTGCTACTTCTCCTCCTCCTAGTTGCCACTGTCTTCTCTTGGGTGTCCTTGTCTTTCCCTGGAGCCAGGAGACAGGAAGGAAGGAGCATCCATTGCCATGGCAACCAGACAGCAGGCTGCTTTCCCCACGGACTGGAACTCCTCTGACAAGGGCCGCTGCTGGTTCTGCTGTTGGGCCTTGATGGGGTTGCTGGGGCCAGTCACCTTATTTGCCGTGAGAGAAAACTGGGGGAGCGGCAGACAGCTTCTAGCATAAATTGCACAGGCTTTAGCAAAGTGGGCCTGCGGGCGCATTGCGGCCATCCTCGTCGCTCTCTTACACCACTTTCCCCCCTGCCAGAGATTCCAGCAGAATTTAAAAATCTTTTTTAGAAAGAGATCAGTCTTAAGCAGACTCTGGTCTTCAGATGCTGGAACTCAACTTTTGAACTGACAGCAGCTCTGGCTGAAAAAGCTCTGTTTGTCAAACCTGCCAGAAGAAAATCTAAAATGGAGAGCTGGAGTGGGGGAAAGAGGACAAAGAGGACATTTATTTTGCTTTCAGACGTATTTAAGTCTCCTCAGTCCTCCAGGAGGTAAATTGGGGCTTTAAAAATCAATAGGCGTTCCTGTTCGTATGGGACCGAGGAGTTCAGGGGTAGGAAGGGCCTTATTAGGCCATCTCCTCCATCCCTCTGCCCCTGGCCTATTCTAAACCCTCTTGTTTATAAGACTCTCTGGAGAAGGTGATTGCATAAGCTCCCACAATAATTTGTTCCACTGTCTAACAAATTCTTCCTGCTGCCTCCAAAGCTTGTCTGTCTATGGGCCAAGGCTACTCAGAGGCACTGGGGTTTTATGAAATGAGCAAGGACTTGGTCCTATCATCCATGTTCAAGTCTTGCCTTTTCCAGTCATAGGCAAAATGACCTTGGACAGTCACTTAACTTTTCCAAGACTGTTTCTTAATCTGATGGGGTTGATGTGAAGGTTGTAGGAAGTAGTAAGTGTCAACATGTCTACCATGATACCTGACATTTAGTGATGTTTAATAATGCGCCATGTTTGCTCTGGGTTGGCCCATGGGTACCATGGTACAGACTCCTATTGGATCAAGACCTCAGGCATTGACCTTCTGGTTGTTGGATCTTGGGGTAGTTGGAGGGATGGGGGACTGGAGCAGCAAGGGCAGCTGAGGGGGCACTCATGGGGGCTTGGCCAGTGCCTGTTTGCCAACCAGTACAAAAGGTTTCCTTATTTTAGAGGTCCATTTGGCTGTATCCGTGCGTATTATTTAAAGTATCAGCCGTGGTGGTTCCTTCAAAAATGTCAAGTAGGGGCACCTCGGTGGCTCAGGCAGTCAATTGTCCGACTCTGGATTTCATCTCGGGTCTTGGTCTCGGGGTTGTGAATTCAAGGCCCTCGATGGGCTCCATGCTGGGTATGTAGCCTACTTAAAAAAAAAAGCCAAGCAAATCTCTACTTCCATGTCTTTGTGTCACTCAACCCCCCATGTTTTACTGCCTTTTCGAATCCCACCCATCAATAAGATCCTGCTCAAACTCTACCTCATACATGACTGTGATTCCCGCTCTAAACCTATAAACCTTATGCCCTGCGTTCTTTATCCAGAAGGGAAGAAAGAGGAGATTTTTTCCTGCATAGCCAGTTGAGCCACTGAGTTGAGCCATCACAGAGCATTTGGCCTGAAAATTATCAACGAGGAAACTGAGGCCAGAGAGGGGCAGGGCCTTGCCCCAGGCCAGAGCAGTCATCAAGAACAGGTCTAGAACTTCAGTATCCTGAATCGCTGCCCAGGCTTCTTGTCCAGTCCCCCATGACTGAGGCTGTTCCTTGAGGCTGGAACTAGATCAGAGTCAGCCCCCACTCTGCGCTGTGCCCCTCCCACCCCGCACATGCTCGCTGAGTCATTCTGAAGGGAGGCGGGTAGGGGGAAAGCACGCTGTTTTTGGAGATGGCATCCATCAGTTGGGAAAACTGAAGCCGGGCAGTCCGTGTGGGTGAGGTCTCCCATCTAGGTCCCCACCCCAGAATGCATGCCAGGGTGGGAGGGCTGGGGAAGTAGAAAGCATCCGTGTCTTTCTTACCCACCTGGCATAGGGTGGGGTGCGGGGGGCAGCTAACTAAGCCCTGTGCTGGGAGGGCAAAGTGTCACTGTTTATTAGAGACCGTGCTTGGCTTAGCTTTTATAGGACTTGCTTTCAAATGGAAATTCCTTAGTCAGACTTGTGCTGCTCTCAGGGAGACGCGGGCCAGCCTCTGAAGCACCTGGTTTACAGGCACATCTGGAGGGGTCATTTAGGCCAAGAGGCTATGAGATAAATGTTTGTGTGTTTGTGTGTACATGTGTGTCCATGATCCCCTTTGCTGGCTGCAAACTCTGTCGTTGCCTCATGGAAAAATCCGTCCTAAGTAAGGAAAGTAGCAGGTACAAAGATGCTGATGTTGGATCCAGTGAGGAAACACAGTTTTCGTCACAACAATAGTATTTATGCACTGGGTTGGCACGTGGTTGGCCCAGATGGGGAAAAGACTGTTAAGAGGATCAGGCTCCTTTGGGTAAGGGACATAGAGTGGCTTCCAGAGGAGTAGGGAACAATGTGGGGTAGGGAAGCATGGGGCTTCTGAGTCTGTAGGACTAGAATTCAAATCCCGACTTAGCTGCCTTCCAGCTGTGTGGCCTTAGGCAGCTCTCCAACACTCGGGGCTATTTTGTGGGGAGCGGCTCAGTGTTAACTCCAGGTTCCTTTTCACGGGGCTTTCAAGGATAACTGCAATGGATAGCTTAGAGGAAGATGGCCCATAATTTTGAGACTGCTCGCTTGAGGCATGAGAGTGGACTCAGGGCAGGAAAAGGATGCATGGTGATGGAGAGACCCACACGTAAAATGACCCCGTGGGCTGCCATTTTAGCCACATTTCAGTGTTAGAAAGCTTCCAGCTGGCCTGCTTCATTTCCTGAGTCCTCACAAGGGAGCAGCTGGAGTCTTCTTCTTTGCTGGTATCTAGAACAGCTGCTGGGATTTATTAGTGCACTTAGAGGAATTACCTGGAATCACGGCAGGCATTCTGAAATGGGAATGCATTTCTGTAAGCCAAGCTAATGTTTGGGCGTAAGGGAGCAGGGTCTTTCCTTCCGTAGTGGGTGGGACACAGGAAGGTCTGGCCTGTGATTGTGCTCTAACTATGGGCAGTAATTTCATCTGGGTTGTACTCAGCATGGGACACAGGTTGGATGGTGTGTGAAAATGACTGGATCATTCTGGGGGACCTCTTTTCAGATCAAATGCTCAAGGAAGCCGCCATTGCTAGGCACCTGGGGAGCGACAGCTGTCTTGGCCAGTACGTGAGGACAACTGTGGATCGAATAGCTCTCTGAGCCTGTTCCCCTACTCGCTCCTCTCTGTTTATCTGGCAGCATGATAGTCCCATTAAGTATCTCCTTCCAAACCCAGCTGTTCTTCTCTCGAGTCAGCTGATTCCATTTCCTGATACTTAGTTGACGCTCCCGTGCGGCATCGCGCTGCTGGGTAAGCTGTGCTTGTTTGCTAGTGGCTTAAAATCTTCTTGGGAAATGTGATTAATGAACACGGAATTATTAGGCAGCAGTAAAGACAGTACAAATTATGGTTATAAATGGAATATAAGCAGGATAGATATGTTTAGGGCTGATCTAAATGTCCTTGGAGTTTAGAAGCTAGAGAAACATCAGAAGGCTGAAAGAGATTGGCTTTGGAGGAGCTATATGGAACCAGCGCCCTGCCCAGCCTACTGGGAAATGCACCCACTGCGGGGCCATGCCCTCTCTGTTGCCTCCCTATTTGATGAACGTTGAGCCTGGGGCAATTGCAGAGCCCGGGTAAAATAGAAGGAAGAGAGTTCTGCCTCCTGTGTCCTTTTGCAAGCTAAGAGTTCCTTCTAGCTTGGGGACTGCTTGGGGTTGCCATACATCCGCCATGGTGGCCGGGATAGGTGGTCTCTTAGTACCCATTGTGGGTGATGAGTGGCTTCCAGCTGTGACCCTGGCTAATGAGATTGGATTCAGAGTATTTTGCAAATGCCAAATGACCACCATTTAGCTCTCGTGCACCTCCTCAGTGCCCTGCCCTGTGTTGTGCTGAGCACCAGCAAAGCCCCCGTCAGTCCTACCTGCTAGGTGTTGCTGTGGTCCATTGGCTTCTTACCCAGTTCAGGCTGCCATCACTTCTTGCACAGATGACTGCAGTTGTGGCCTAAAAATCTGCTGACATTCCCTCCCAGCCACACCCTGCCCATCAAATCCATTCTTCCAACCGTGGCCAGGGATCCCTTTCCAAAATGGTTTTCTGCTCATGTTAATTCCATTTTAAAAGCTCTTCGCGTGTCCCCATTGTACATAGAAGAAAATTCATCTCCTCATCGTGGATTGTCCGGTCCTGAACTTTTCTCATTCCCTAAGTGCTCTTCACAATGTAACTTAAGAACAAAAAACACTGGCCTCTACCCATGTGGCTCCCTCTCCTGGGGATGTCCATTCATGTCTCCCACTTTGGCCTAGCTCCCTCCTATTCACCCTTCATGGACATCATCTCTTACCAGACCAGGATAGGATGGCTCCTCCCATTCTATACCTCACAGCTTTCTGTAATTTATCTTTGAATCACCTTTTGAGTTACCATCTATTATCTGTGTAGGGTTTTTTTTTTGGTTGTTGTTTGATGTTTAATATCTGTCTTTCCTCCAATTACTCACGAGGTTCCCAAGGGCAAGAATCACCACCCCTGTCTTGTTGGCTACTGCTCAAGACCTAGCATAGGGCCTACAACTCAGCAGGTTTCAGGGCATGTTTGTAGAGGTAGTGGGTCTTTTAGGTTTCCAGAGCTTCTTCAGAGTTTCCTGCTGGGTGTCCTACTGACCAGGGAACCACTGGAGGTGAAAGGAGCTTCAGGCCACTCGGCCAGATGTTTCCGTCTTTAGATGTGCTTCATGCCCAGGCGCGTAGCAGAAGAAACTATTTTGACTCATAAACTGAGCAAATTTATAGTGGAAATCAGTGGAAGAAAATAAATATGAATCCCCATGATGTCATTTTATGGGCTGCTTTATAGATTGTAATCACCCATTTAGAGTTTGCAGGCTATTAATTTTGTTTGTGGAGAGCCAGGACTCTTGGGGACAGAATTTACTGGGCTGTGGTGTCAGACATGTGGATCTAGGCCTTCAACCCCTGAAAGATTTTGGAAAGAGAAGGATAAACAGTCTTTGAGTGGTTAGAGACTCAGGAGGCTTGCCTCTAGCTCTTCCTGGATATGATTTTTTAAATGTTTTTACAAATCTCTGTTTACTGTTTTATTACCTTAATTTTACCCTGGTCTCTAGGCCCCTCCATCTTGTTAGCTAAGTGACTATGTGGAATTTTGCGTTCTACTCTTGGCAGAGAGAGCTTCCCTTCTCAGAGCTTGAGGAGGCCTAAGAAGGAGCAGATGGGATGGGACAAAACTTGGTGGACGCTAGTTCTACCCCTTAGCTTGTAATCTTGAGCCAATTTTTGTTATTGTTGTTGTTAATTTTTTGACCCTTCCTTTCTTCCTCTATAAATCATGACTACTGCCCTTAGCCTGAAAGGGTGATTCTAAAGACAAAGGATGTGAAAGAGAAAAAGCACTTGGTACTCAAAATGAATTGTACTCAAAATAATAAAATGATTATTTTAATTGCTGTTTTAATGTAAGCCTGGTTTAGGGGGAGCAAAGTGAAAACTAAGATTCAGGACACTTGGTTCCAACTCTGTCACTAACATGCTGGGTGACCCTGGGCAAATTCGTCAGCCTTTCTGGTCCCAGACTCTGCACTAGTGAAATGAGAGGTTTGCCTCAAATGATTTTGGTGGTGGTGCTACTCAAAATATGGTCTGTGGGCAAGCATCACATGGGAACTTGTTAGAAATGCAGATTCTCAGTCTCCACTCCAGGCCCCCAACTCAGAAACCCTGGGGATGGGGTTCAGCCATCTGCATTTTACCGCACGTGTCCATAGCCCTAACATCACATCTGATGTTGGCTCCCTGAGCAGCAGACACCCCAGGAGCCTTCCTCCTCAGTGTCTTGGACCACGGTGGCCTATGGTAAGAGGAGAACAGAGTGGAATAGAGGAATGAGCCCAGGATCCTAAATCAAGACTCCATTGGGATTTGAATCCATTCAGCCTGATGCAGTATCTGTGTGTATAGCCACTACTTGGTTACCTCTCAGTAGTATGGCCTCTGCCTCTTCCTTGCCTAGTGACCATGGCTGAGTTATTCAAACTCACCAGGCTCCTTTTCCTCATCTGCAAATGGGGGGCATGCTAGGATCTCTGTTCTAGGGTCATTGTGGGGATTACATGAGTTACGTGAGAAAAGTACCTGTAGGGCCTGCACGTGACCAGTACAGGGTGTGCTAATTAATGTCACCTTAGTGTCCTCCTCATGCTCCGAGATGTGACTCCATGGGGCTGGGAGTAAAATGGAAGATGAAGGACCAGAATTCAAGTTTCAATTAGAAAACGTGTGCTCTGTGACCTTGAGCAACCCATTTAAGCTTAGAGAGGTAAAATTTCCTCGTTTCTAAATTGGGAATGTTTATTTTTTCTGCTGGTATTTATTGAATGTCTATAAAGTGCTGACGCTGGGCAAGCCTGATGGTGCGTCATGAGGAAGGCAGATGCGGTCCTTGCCTCCTGTCTCCCCACTTGCTCTGAACCCTGGGCTCCTTGTGGGGTGTGATGACATAGTTCATGAGCAGGCCTGTCGTGCTTGTTGACCATCATCATTTTACCAACACAGATGTCTGCAAAGTATGTCGTGGACTTAAACGGTGTTGACTGTTCTTGTGCTGAGTGTTTCAGAGATTTACTCCTATGAGTCGGGCCCTGATAGACCCATGAGAGAGTGAGAGAGAGAGGAGGAGGCCTTGCCTGGACAGCGCTAGGTGCCTGTGGTTTGATTTACCTGCTTCCTCAGAGCCTGACCCACTGCTGTGCC